TGCTTTAGCCTAACGAGTAATTAAAGAAGTGCACATCGTTGCAAAATGAGTGGAAGGACGTGATGCTCCAAGGGACGGTATTATACCCCCCTTTTTTTAGAAGTATGATAGTTATAATTATCCATTTTTTTTTAAAATACAATGGTTAACTTTTACAATAAATTACTAGTATGATGATGTAATGACCCCATACATGCATATGATGTAACCCCATACATGCATACATGGAGTCATTTTCATATAAACAATTAGATCATTGAAATGATTGAATCTTGTATCGGTTTTGGGATCAATGAATTCATGATCATGTATGTAAACCATCCATACATACATGTAAACCCAACCATATATACATACATATATATATATATATATATATATATATATATATATATGTTAATTAATTTGCATGCACAAATTTAGGGTTTTGTAGGAGAGATATATGGATATATATATATATATATATTAAAGGTAGATTGTTTTTAATTAATAATTGAAGATGTTTATTGTCGTGCAAAGAGAAACAATGCAATGATGAAATTTACACATTACACGTGTGTTCATACTTGGTGCTTAGAGGCTTGTTGCCTAATTGTCCATATAAACAAACAATCATCATCTGTAGATCCTTCTTTTGCTACCATTCATTATGTTGTCCATCCATCCTCTTCATTTCTATTTCTTTTTCATTAAATATAACTAATAATCCATCCTAAAAGCAAAAACACAAACATCTCTAAACCCTTTTCCGTCCTTTTTCACTCGTGGCTCTCCGACTTTTTTGTATGATTGTGCACGTAATTAAGCGTGCACACACATAGACATACACACGCATGCATGCTACAACCCATTTTTGTCCTTTTTTAAGACGTTTTTATTTCAAAAACTGTAATATAAAACAACCGATAAGACACTCATCTATTTTTTTTTTGTAATAAAATCTGTTAAAATTCTCCAATTTTTATAACAGTTTATTGTTAGTATATTTATTAAAAATAATCTGAAAAAAGAAACAAAGAAATATTCTGCTCCACTTTTAAGTGAGTAGCAAATCTTAGAAGAGCATCTAAAATGGAAGCACAAGTGGCTACAGCACCAGCAAGAAGAAAGAAGAGGTTCAAAGTACAAGACAAACATTGCAGGAAGGAAATCAGATTTTCACACAAGGGTTTTCAAATTTTTTTAAAAATAATTATAATATCTGATTTTTAATCAAATAAATCTATTTATATATATAAAAACACACACACACACACACACATATATAT